GATCGGAAAAGGACTTTTGGAATTTTTTTTAAAATACTATTTCGTTTCGTATTAAAATTTCACTGAATTAATGAAGTAGTATTAAAACATAACTTAAACCCCTTCTTGAGTTGAATAGCATATGAGAATAATAATATGAGGAATATAAGAAAAAACATATGAGGGCTTCTGTATCAAATAGATTTGTAGATATACGAATATAAATATTAATATAGTGAAATACTGTATTGTTAATATACTGTTAAGTTTTCTAATTACGTTAATGTTCTAAGGTATTGATATTTGAAAAAAATTATTTGTTATAAATTATGTGTAGAGTATTTTTTAAATAAAATTTCAACGCCTTGTTAAAAAAACTGAATTAAATGTATTTTTATAGCTTTGTGATATCTATGAAGCATATGAATAACTTGAACATAATTAACATGAAATAAACAATTATCTCATACTAGAAAATGTAAAAAGAAAATTACTCATTATTCTCAAGTTAGCCACGAAAGAAATAATCTGAAAGTCGTTAACTTAGATAGATTTCACTACTATAAAATATAAAAATACTATTAATTATAAAATCAAAGATGAATTTTTTTGAAATGATATTCTACACCTAAGAGAGTTTGTGTATTTTTATTAATTGCTTCCATATTTTTATCGTGTAAATATAATCACAGATGTAGAAAGTTCTTTATCTCTAAAAATATATCATCCCTCTTAAAATTAAAATACTATTTAGAAAGTAAATAATGCCATACTTTAAGAATGCTTATATTTTATTTACTTCCATACATTATTGTATTTAGACTTAGGTTATTTTTTTAAAACATATTTTATTTTAGATAAATTGAATAAAAAAAGAAATCAAAACTTTTTGAGAAATTCGAATATAATGTATTTTTTAATATTATTTATCAACGATTGTAATTATTATTCATTTTATTTTTTTATATTAAAATAAACAAAAATTATTTTGTTAAAGAATTCAATTATCACAATGGAACTATTTTCCGCATAAAAAAGACTATTTAATAAGTCAATAAAATAGCTGTCAAACAACAAACTAGTTGAATAATATGATTAATATTTTTATAATAAATTAAAATGACAATTACATTTTTCCTGTATCGGAACACCGAAAATGGTGGCAACTACTTTACACCCAAGTGATGTTTAATTTAGCATTCGACTACACCAAAACCTCCAAAACCTAAGGACAGTTTTTAGTGCTTCAAAACATCTAAAATGCTCTTTCACACTACTTGGCGTAAAATAGCGGCTACTTACTACCATTTTTGTTATTTAATGACACTGAAACTTATAATAACAGTAAAATATGACATGCATTCGAATCCGTAAAGTTTTTATTATGAGACCATATAAAATAAGAATTAGTTATTTAGGTTGAAGGCTGGACATAGTTCGTAAAATAAAATGAATTTGTTAATCAAACATACGCGTAACAGAGAGAATACTAAGACGATATCGAATTACGTATAATGGAGCAGGAATAGATAGAAGTTATGCCTTATAAAATTATTTAATACAGTTTACAGAGATTTGAGAATTAAAATATAAATTTCCTTATTACGCAACTAAAAACAAATATACATATTTTTAACGACGAATATGTTCTTCATATTAAAAGAAACATTGAAGATAGCTGCAAACACTCGCTAATTCTCTAACGATTGTAAACAATTATAGAGGAAATTAAACCGCGCCAATACTGGAGTTTTTGGGAGTGAAAATATTTAACGTATGATGTAAAGGTGAGAAATCGTGCTGCAAAATTTTTGTATTTCTGATGGTTAGAGCTTTCATACACCTTTCCTTTCAAATTGCATACGAAAGCTCGATTTGGTGTAGACTTGAAAAAAAAAGATTTTCTCCACACAGCTATTAAGATTGTTCAACATCAGATTCGGGGAGATTACACCTCCATTTTTGAAATGTACACAGTTTTTACAGACAGCTACAGACACTCGCTTATTCGCTAACGCTCGTAAGCAATTACAGATGAAATCACATAGCGCCAATATTGGAAATTTCGGGAGTGAAAATATTTTACGTACGACGTAAAGATGAGAGATCTTGTTGTAAACTTTTGAATTTTCGATGTTTAGAGCTTTCATACAGCGCTTAAATTGTATAAAAGAGTTCAATTTGGCTCAAACTTGAAAAGCAAAGAAGAAGAGGGGGGAAAAAACGTGTTTCTTTGCACAACTTTCAGGATTGTTCAACATCGAATTCGGGGTACACCACAGTTTTTATTATATACTGAAACTCATTATAAAAATAATATTTTGTTCACTTCAATTTAAAAATATAAAACAAATAATTATTACATTAATGACATCTGTGAATTTAAAAAAATGCGTCAGCGACTTTTATATAAATAACTAATCTTTCTTAAGTCCACCCATAATAAGTCAAAAATAAATAAAATATAAAAATAAATAAAACATAAAAATAAATAAAATATAAAAATAAATAAAATATAAAAATAAATAAAATATAAAAATAAATGAAATATAAAAATAAAATAATAATAATAGCAAAAATAATAATAACAGCAAAAATCATAATAAATAAAATAAAACGATAATAATTAATGATACTATATTACCTCGTAGTATTTTTATTTAAAAAGTTAATTTAATTTAATTAAAATTAAAAATTAAATTTAAAACCAAATTTAGAATTAAAAATTAAATTCTAATTTTATTCAAAAAATTAATTAAGTTGTTATAATACTTAATCGGCTAAAAAACATAATAAGTATTATAGGTATCATTATAATAGTATTAAGTGTATTGTTTTTTGGTAATTTACTTAAAGCGTATAAAAACACAATTACTATAAAAAAAATTGTGTTTATTTTTGTATATGGTCCCCAAGATATCTCAGTTGCAACTTCACTCTCCGATTGCACGAAGAACGCAACTTGCTAATGACATTTGCAACTGCTTGACGCATGTTTTGCTACAAATCAACTAAGAGACTTCTCCTTCTCGCCACTCTTCATCATTTCTTATTTTTTTCTTTCTTACCTTTTATTTTATTTATTCACTCATTTTATTCCTTTTTTTTCTACTTTCTCAATACGCATCGCGCAAGAGGTTCGCGTTTTCAGCTGGGAGCCGTAAAACTTAAAAAGTTGATACTTCATATAGTTTGAAGCTTCTGAAGTTATTACTCACCGGCGTGAAGGGGAGTAATTTATAGCTAAGGCGCCGAAGTCGGACCCCCCCTCAATCCCCTCTAATTTTTTTTCCTGTTTTTAAAAACTCTTGTTTTAGCTCTCCATTATATCTCATTACTTTTGTCGTATTTTGTGGCTGGAAATTGAGGTATTTTCGCTTTTTCTCCCCCTCCGCACTGATATATTTACAAATTGTTTCCTTCTCGTCAAAGACTTTAGACACTTAATATTAATGTATTAGACACCAGGATCAGCTCGCATTTTTCTGTATTTTCATTACGTTGCCTGAAATGTGTGAGGGTTATGAATTTATAAAGAGTTTTCTGGCAGAGAGGTAAGTCTGAAATATTACGGACCTTTTATTTTGAGTTTTAAATGAGAACTGTCTTTGAAATAATTGATGACAGCCACATTTGCAAAAAAAAAAACGGAAGCTGCAGTGTTTTTGTTGGAGTATCGAAAAAAACACAGCTAACTTAAAACGTAACGGAATAAAAATGGAAGTTTATAAATGACATTTATTAATTAAACTTATTATTCAGGAACTTGACGTCAGGCGAATAATATTATTTAACTCTTTTTCCATGCATATTTAACATGATGAAAAAATAATAGCTTATTTCCAGAAGACTAATATTAAAAAACCTTTATAACTAAGATACACATTGTCTATGCTAGCATTTATTAAAATATCTGCAAATAAAGCAATCATAAGTTATTTTTTATACTTTCTCAATTATTTTATGATTTGCTCAAAGCAAAATAAAATAAAATACTTATTAAAAATATTTAAATAAAATATATTACTTAAAATGAATTTTGAACCAATGATCGAGTTTTTATTTTCGAAAATGTTTGAAACTCCTCTTAAAATCTTAGTTTAACAGTAATAATTTAAGATTTGAATGAAAGTATGAAAATATACTTTCATTGAACAAGCCTAAATTTTTATTGTTTCATTGGTTGGGATTTGAGATTCCGAAATATCCGAGATAGTCTTAATGTAGAAATTAAGATTCTAATAAACTAAAATATATAAAAACGAAAAAATATAATCTCGTCTTCAGCTCACACGATTATATCAGATAAAGAGTGTTTTCTAATATTGTATTAATGAAGTAAAAGCAAAATATATTGATACAGTAGTGCGAGAATAACCAAAGAAAAAAAAGAAAATGAATCGTAAACAAAAAAATTTTTAAAGTAAGAATCTCAAAGCTTATACAAAGTACAAAGTAATACACAAGTGGGCACGTAAAAGAACATCAGAAGTTAGAAGGGAAAACGGATGTCAGTGCTTGCGAATATATATATATATATATATATATACTATTCAGCATGCCAACTCAAGAAAATCAAAAAATTGATTGGGGGGGGGATGGAAGCAACGTATTATGAACTTTTAACTATTAGACATACTATTTAATTATATTTCTTTTAAAGACAACAATAATAAAGTTNATATATATATATATATATCAATCAGAAACTATTCGAAATATTAAATTTTAGATTTTATAATTTAATATTATATTAACTAAGGGTAAATACTAAATTTCGTTCATAAACGTAACAAAGCGAAAAGTCCGCTTTTCCATTGTAGGACTAAACATATATTTTTATCAGAGCTAACGTAACTTAAATTTAAATTTTGTAGTTTGTTTGTAATTTTAGATGCGCATTGAAATGATACGAAGTCTAAATTACGTTTGTACATAAAAATAAATAAAATATAATAAAGGAGAAAAAAAAAGTGCTGCCAGTTATATATACCATTTTTATGCCTAAATCTGACACTTACCTTTTTCGAAGTATTCGAAGAAAAATACTGTGTAGTTTCATTGGATTTGTTTTGCTCACCATCAACATGATGCCGAAAATTTCTGAAAAATAATGAAAGAAATTATTTTAAAGGAAATACTACATTTGAGTTACCGTAATACAAAGAAAAATGAAAACATTTAAATATCTGGAAATATTTAACAAATTAATTTTCTTTGAATAAAAGAATTAAATTAAGCGAGTCCCGAAAAACATTAGCGTAGTAACTCAAAGAACAACAGGTTTCCGGCCACCATTTTGAAAACAATTAAATGAACTCACGGAGCTTTTTCAATAAATCTTCTCGCCAAGTGTTCATTTTTTTTAATCGCGCCAAGTCTCACTTCAGGCCATTTTGTACTTCGTTCCAAAATATGTAATAATCTAATAGCGAGTAAAGACCGCAGACTCGTAACAGATTCTTTATGTCAATATTATAATTACTGAGATTATTACGTTAAGTCATCAGCGTTGTTGACATTGAGAATTAATTCTTCACTCGCCTGAAGTGGCGGTGTTGCCAACGAAGCAAGAGAAAAGTAAAGGGAAAAAAAATTAAATGGCGCCGACTTCATAATGAAGCTTTTAATGGTCCTTAAGACTTTTGTAAAACCCGTGAACTTACTTCGTTGAATAAATAAATCGTGAAGAGGTGCCAACATAGATTATTTTCATTGCTACAAACCATATGGATTGATTAAATTACTGAACTGGATAGTTCTGGGTGAATTTTAACAAGTTACGTTTAACAAGTTGTGATGGAAAAGTTAAACAATGTAAGTTTTTTTTTCGCCTGTAATTTATAGCTACTAAAGTTCGTTAGTTTTTATTAATTAAGCTAATATTGACTATGTGCATAGCAAAATTAAAATTGGTATGCCAGTTTTTTTTATTATCTTTTATTCCTGAATATTTCCATTTCTAATAAAGTAAAGAAAAATTTTGCTTATCAGATAAATAAACAAACATATATTTTAAAAACACAATCAATTGCTATAATGAGGTAAGTATCAATAATTATATAGTCAATATTTTCAAAGTAATATTTAGAACTTCTCAATAAAAATATTATATGTGCAATATTGACTTTGTAATCAATTTTACATAGTCTATATTTTCAGCAAACGAAAAACGACGTAAACACAAAACTCAAATAAGAAGAACTAACACAGAAAGCGATGTAAATATTAACTAACAGTTTTTTTCAAAGTGCAAGCACAGAATTCGACGTGTTAGAACTGTTTTTAACAATAATAACGAAAAATTATTTTATTAAATGAATGCAGGAACTGTATATATAAAACGCTAAGTTTTTTGTACTTAAAATTAATTATTTAAGTTTCAAAATATTTTAAGATTAAAATTTTAATCAATATTATGGAACTTTTATCATATATTTTGTAATTATTCTTTAAAAATGAGCCATAAATTATTTTTTTAAGTTTTGCAAGAGTGATATCTAGTATTTAGAGAACACAATAAACATAAAAGCAGAGCTATGGAATCAGTAGTATGGAATCAGTGCTAGGACTGCAGATTTTTTTTTAAATCTTGTCTTTGAAATATACTTAATTAAAATTTTCACGAAATCCCTGGAAATTATTAACATTATTACTAAGTAAATAAACGTAAAAAATTCCGGAACAAATTGCAGTAAAAAGTGGCAGGATGCCATTACTTTACATAACATATTATTTATATTTATATCTATATTAGGTATTTATGTCTGACACAGGCTGAGCCGCAATGGCTCAGTGTTTAAGGCACTGAACTGTCATTTTGAAGAACTGGGGCTCGACCCCGGTGGCAGCATGAAGTTCCATCAGCTTAAGCAAAGACGGTCAGCGGGCAGTGCTGATAACATCGCCACAATCATGCCGTTAGTCTCGAAAATGTAGTGCCTTAAAATGATCCCCTTGGCCCACAACGGGCTGTTGTTAGATTGCTTTACTTTCCTTTTTACTGACATAAGCACAAAACCATTCAAATGCGATTAAACGAAAAATTAAATTTCTGATTAGTTATAATTTAAATAATTATCACAATAATCAATTGAGTAATATTTTTATTCACATGTTAAGAATAACTATTTGTCTAAATAATTTTCATAAGATCATTTCTTCTTTTAATTTACAGAGCCTAATATTTAATCAGGCGAAGTCGAACAAATTGTTCCGACTCAGGCAGAATTTCTTTTAACTCAGACTCCACAGACCTGCGTAAAAGAACATTCCAGATGATGAAAAGGACTAAAAATATTTCACTTCTTTAGAGTAAGTTTCCTTCAAAGGGCAGCGACCATATTTGAGAAATTTCACTGTCGCTGGAACAAGAGGAAGCGAAAGTCTTGACCTATTTTAGGCCCATTCTTATACAGTTCTGGAAAAAAAGTTCCCTTTACCTGCTGTGGTGTGCTAACCTTGGCATTCACGAAGGAAGTACTAAAAGATGGAACCCTTTTTAAAAAGGGGCATCCGTTAGGTTTTTTTTAGGGACTGAAGTTCTTTGAACTTCTTGTAAGAATAGGTAGTGATCTGAAGGGTAAAGTTGAATGTCACATAAAGGAGAAGGACCTTTGAGGAATGTTCTTGTTTCGGGAAAATATCAGTGAAAAAAAATATTGTCTTAATAGCGGTAAGAATAACAGCAATAAAACAAAGTAATTGTAATCTCTCTTAGATCAAAAAATTCCATTCGTTGTACGGAATTCTTTAATTCAGAATTATTTCTTATTATAATTTATTAACTTACGACTCTTTTTCATTTGTCAAGTAAAAAGGAACTAAGAAATGAATGCTCTTGGTAAAGAAATAGATTAGTAATTGAAAAACAATTTTAATGATTTCAAAGAAACTGATACAAGAAATAAGGAATTATATCTATCAGAGAAACAAAGAGTTAATAAGGGTTATGGGAATCCAAAATTAGTACTTTAAAGCATTTTTCATATAAAATTTTAAGAACACAGGAGATTAGAAATTGTATCACTGCACAAAGCTAAAGTCACATTTAAGTTACAGAATTATTTTCTGAAACATTTGTTATCATAGAAAAAAACTTTCTCTCTCTCTCTCTCTCTCTCTCTCTCTCTCTCTCTCTCTCTCTCTCNGAAAACTATAGTTTAAGTTGCAAAATCAGACACAAAACACACCTTTTTTGAATAATGTATCTTTTTTTCGACGGATTTGGATTTTTGAAACCCAAAATATAGGGTTAGCAGCAATCTGGGAATTATGGTCCCCATAGTTTAGTTAAAAGAGCGGCCCAAAGTTTGGACTCCATATTGTTAATTTTACTTTTTGCGTATTTTGTCATATCTCGAAAATGTTTTAAATAAATTAAAAACATTTTGCACACCATTATAAAATTAGTTTATCCAAAGATAATTCCATGCAGAAAATAGCTTTTATAAATATTTATTATTTTTTATTATTTTATTTAACATTAGTCAAAAAAATTATAAATTGTAAGATATACAGATATATTTTTTCTGACATCATTTTAAGGTACATAATTTTACGTGGCAAAATATAAAGTTTGAGTGAAATTAGTCGAATAGTTTATTGAAAAATCGAATTTTAAAAATACGACTTTTTTAAAACTTGATTTCTCAGAGACTATTCGACTTATTTCACTCAAATTATGTATTTTGTAATACAAAATTATATTAATTAAAATGAATTGTATAGCTTACAATTAAAAAATTTTCGACTATTATCGAATAAAAAAATAAACATTTACTGAAAGTTGTTTTTTGTATGGAATTATTTTTGGATAAACAAATTTTATAATCCTGTGCATAAATTTTTCGATTCACTTAAAATATTCTCGAGATATGGTGAAATTACTCGAAAAGTCAAATTATCATTAAGGGGTCAAACTTTGGATCACTCTCCTTACCAAACTATTGGAACCAGATAGCGGCTCAGAAATCCAAATCCGTCATAAAAGAGTATGTTTATTTAGAGAAAGTGCGTAATTTCTGAACTTAAAATATCGTCTGCACTTATTAATTAGCATATTTGAGATCACTCTTGTAACCAAGCTGTGTTAAAGAAACAATTCTTTTTTACATAAACAACCATTTGACAACCACACATAAACTAAGCAAACTTTAGTTAAAATACCTGTACCTGGTTAGTAATAACCTTGCAAAATAAATAGAAAACCCGTAGCGAGTTAGTATCAACCACAAATTCAAAACAAAAACTATTTTCATCAAAAACCAACAACTCTCTGATGTTCCATAAATTGCCTCGCGCTTTTTCTTTTAATTTATCTCGTTATAATTAATTAAAAATAATGCACCTTATACATTAGATATTATATTGTTTTAATATAATATAATATAATATAATATAATATAATATAATATAATATAGTATAATATAGTATAATATAATATAATATAATATTACACGAAATACGAAAAAAAAGGATTTGAATCACTGCACAAACAAAAAGTCCCATTTGAGTTTCAGAAATGTTTTTAAAACATTCGTTATTACTTATAAAAATTACGTAACTTAAGGTAACAACTATGTTTGGGTAATTTATGTATACGTAAAGAACTCTCCTGAAGAATATTCTTGTTTTTTTTAAAAGATAAATAATATCGTGAGTATTACTAATAGAAAGAAGAAAGTGTATTCCCCCATAGTGCAATAAGTTTTCTTTTTCAGAATTATTTAATTAAAATATGTACTATCTTAAAAAAGTTTTAAATTGCCTCGCAAAAGAGAACACCCAAAAATAGTCTTGCTTTGGAAAATGTTTAGTATTATTGAAGATAGTTTTAATAGTTTGGAAAATAAAACACAAGAAACGGTACTCTAACATAGTACAAGAAGACATATTTGTGTTTCAGAATTATTTCTCAAAGATATTTGTCATTTTATTAAAAAAATTTAAATGTCACGTAATGAAGCATGACAAGATTTATTTTTGTTCCAGGAAGAGGGTACTAAAGTAACAAAGTTTTAAAGTAAGTTTAATATCATTAAGAGTAAAACCACAAGAAAAACTTATTGTATTCCAACATAGCACACAAAGAATTATTTGC